ACGTGCACACACACACACACACACACTCCTGCTGAGAATAAACAAACCCCTTTCATGAGCAACACCAGACTGCGTTAGCGTCAGTTTGTGCATCATGGAACAGATCACGAAACCATGTTGCCTTATGAATCATTACACACAATCTTCCTAATAAAACATCCACATCATCTGACAACAGATCAATCAATACAACAATTCAAACAAAACTTACCAGTGCTAAATTAAGTGTAATGGAAAACATGTCCCAATACACTCATGAGGAACACTAGAAAGAGTAGTATCTCTTTGGATTTGAGACTTTAGTCTTTGCAACTTTACAGATCTTCTTTATGCACCAAGAGCTTGTAACACTCTAGAGAAAGGAAAAAATGAAATCGCATCATATGACCCCTTTAAATTTCTCCAAATCTGTACAGATGAAGAAACCAACTCCTCTACATCTTGGATGGCCTGAGGACTATTCCTTTAAGACAAATTCAGGTGTTGCCGCTGTAAAGCCAGTTCATTTTTCCATATCCCTCATTAAGCAGCTGGCAACAATAAAAGCGTTTTAAAAGCCACACTGCTAATTTCAAAAGTGCACAAACACACACAATCTTAAATCTCGACGTGTCCATGTCGTTTTGTATTCAAATGCTAGCATGATATTGTAGGAAACTTAAGCAATGCATCCTCACCGAAAACCTTAGTTTTTTTCATTTTCACCCACAGTGATAAAAACAGAACATCAATGCAGAAAATGCATATGTCAGATGTGTTAACACTGACAGGCTAGCACACAGAAATTGATTTCAGGCCAAGGGTGTAAAACAGACTTAAAGATGCAGGATTTAAGTGCTAAAGCCATGTGGCAGCTGTCACCCACCACAACCCAACACGCAACGCAAGACTGCCAGAGGTCTCCGGAGAGATGGCCATTTACATTCTCCAGCACAGCCGCAAATGGACAAAACCAAACACCGTGTTCTGGCTACAGTGTGCGCCTATTTTTAAATAAACTTTGGGTAGCTTTGCAAACACAATAGCAAATGTACAATATTTGTGCAGCGGAATCAAACGAACAAAACATCCAGGCAAACAATTAACCAAACAACCATGGAAGAAAGTTCAGGGTGTAGCAATATGTGATATGCATAATTTCAACAGTTCAACAAGCCAGACTGTAGTTAAGTAGATTCAAAAGGTTTAATTGGGTTTAATAATAAAAAAGTAAACTACAATGGAAATCTAGTTAAAAATATATCAAGCCATGTTTTTATACACTGTTTTTTTTATTTTTTTGCTAAATTAATACAAGTTATACTCATTCATGACAGTTATATTTAATTATTATGCAAATGTGTATGCAGTGCACCAATATAAAAATATATAAGCAATATAAAACAAGAAAAATGCCACATGGAGACAAACATTTTTGACTGATGACAAAAAATGAAGCTGAATCAAAGTTTTGAAATGATTCACTGAACAGTCACTGAATGGACAACCACTAAAAAGACAGTTGGAAATTCTTGAAAATGAATCAAACTTCCCACCTCTAATACTTTTGAAGAATCATAAAACTAGTCTATTGACATGACCTTTAGGAAATGCACGACCGTTCAAAAGTTTTTGGAAATATGTGAGACACTGTAGAGACTGGAGTAATGGCTGCTGATAATTCAGTTTTGTCACCACAGGAATAAGTTGCATTTTAAAGCTATAAACATTTCACACATCATTTCAATGTTTTGAATGTATTTTAGTGTAACACATTAAAAAAAATCGTACCGAACCCAAAATGATAGTTTACCATGGCCAAATAAAAAAAGCTCATTAAAAGACACTTTATATTACATTAGTGACATATTCATCACAACTACATAAAAATTCAGGGTCTCTCACGCAGACCTATATGAACTGAGTTGATGTGAAAGGACTCACTCACCTCAAGGTCATAGAACTCTTGAGCATCATCCAGGCCCTGGACGCGGATCTGCAGGCCCCTGTTGTGGCCTTTCCCTCCTGCTCCCATAGCTGAACCGAGGCTCTGCCCGGGCTCCAGGGTGCTGATGCCGGTGTTGTACTGAGCTCCGAGCCGTGTCCCTGCAGGGGTCTGCAAGGAGCGGTAGGTGCCCTCGATCTCACCCATAGCTGCTCCCAATGCAGCCTATCCCCTCTCTCATACACATATACACACCCCTGCCTGGAGACAACAGAACAATAAAAGAAATGACACAATGATACGAAATCTCAAGCCAGTTCTACAGGAATTGATATCATGGTACAATCTGAAAGAACTAATCCAGGATTCAAAGATGGTGCTATTAGGAAAACAGATGAAACCGGATCTGCAGAGATAGCAACTAGAGTCTAGAATCAGGATTTTTTTTTAAAGAAAGAAAGACAAGAATACAATTTATGACTGGTCTGGCACCATATTCACTGTATTAATGTTATGATAGTCAATTAAGGATATTAATTGTTATTTTATTTTTGCAACTAAACACACTAATAACCATAACAGCCTAAATCATACATCTATAAACATCTGAAAGTGAACATATTCCTCCAGCAGACATATAAAGCACAGTTTTTACATTTTACTTTTTGTTTTTCATTCAATTATTTTTAAAGGAAACCTAAGATTTTGCACATTTTGTTTTCTATTTGTCAAGTTCATCCTTGTTTTGGCCTATGTTAAATTTCAATGGAAAACTCAATATTAAAGAACCGATATGCAGATAAGTGTAAAAGTTAAAATATCATTGAAATATCAGCCAAAACAATTATCTAAGTAAGTGTTCAACAAACAGATTATTCCGACATTATTTAAAGTCTCCATGTATCGACAGATCTTTTGTTATGTTGACAGATGTTTTGTTTTCTAGCTCTAAAATAATTTAAAATGAACCATGCATGGATGAATCGTTTGCAATAAGATCAATGTGATGCATTTAGAATTTTTTTTTTGAATTTTTACATTTAATGCCAACTTTAAAGGACAGGCATGAGTCAATCAGAACTGATGCATTTATTGTCAAACTTGACTGACTAATTGTCCAGGTTTCAAGTCAAACATTCACAGCTGCTCTACACTTTTTTTAAAATCTGATGACATTTACATAGAGTAATCCAATTCCCTTTCCTTCAAATGACACTTCACAAAGTTCCTGTCATTATTGGCCAGCACAATAGCAGTGACATGACCACAAGACACAAGCTCACATTAGCCATTACAAAATACTAATGCACTGCCAAATCTAGTAGTGACTTTGCATGAGGTCTGATTAACACTGGGAACACTAGAGGCATCAATGCAACACGACCAACTCAAACAAGCTCCACTTTAACTCTCTTTGTCTCTAAAGCAACAGGGACAACTGAGAATAACATTCATTAAAGCCAACATCATTCAGCATGCTTTTCTGGCTCTTTAATGCAACAGGTTGGTTTAAGTAATTTAACTGGAATGCCTTCAAAGCACAGGCTCACTTACAAGCTGTGATCCAAACTGACCTATTTCCCCTCATAGGAATGAAGTTTACATTTGAGAAGGAATACTTTATCCCGGAGTTTGAGCAATTCCTACAACTGAATCAGCCAATGATCAGCGACCATTAATCTTTTTTGTTTTAGTAATGAAAAGAACTTTCTCATTGCAGGCTGCACTTGATAATGCAAAAATGCTGAAAACAATTAAATGAAAAGCCGACATAAACTCTGGAGTTGTGTAACGTTAATATAATGAGATAAAGCTGCATGGAATCAAGATAAAAAAAATCTCTGCAATAGCTTAACCCCTCACGACAAACTTATTTTACTCGTCGTATTTCACTAACACCGACAAAAATATCCTCAGCTGCGACGAAAAATAAAAGCACACATTTTGCTGTTTGTCATTACAGAGATGAAACAAAGACTGAGAAAGTTTAGTCAAACCACACAAACATGCGAAGAGACCATACAACTCTATCGTATGCTTCACTGAGACACGTTTAAATAAGCTACTGCCAATATAACTGATTTGAAATTGCTTTTAATCTCTATTTTGAGATAAATCGACATCATACCTTTTATTTTTCGCCTGGTATTTCTTCAACTCTGAATGAGTTACACGTCCGACAGTCGTTGTAGGCGAACTGCGGCCAAAGCGCCGCTCTGATTGGACGACTTCAGACATATCCTGCCTTCTATTGGTTCAGACTCGCACTGAAATGGTCAGCAGCTATTGGCTGAAATGTATACCTGTGGATTAATTTGATTGGTTTCGAAATGCCATGCAGTTTGATAATATCCTCCTGAGACCCAGCTATGGAGTTTTTGCCTCTGTAGTGGACATTATATTTTAGTGAATTTCTCTGAGACCTCACATGTCACAGTTTTAAGTCTGGATGTCCTGTACAAAGCACATTCAGGGCTTTCCAGAGATACCAAATGATTGGATGTTTCACCATGACCACTCCCTCTCCTTGGTTTTTAAAAATGGCTGACATTAATTTAGTGATAAAATTGTACATCCTTATGGAAATATGATAATATTTTGTAATTATAATTTAAATCTGATTAATTTTCCAATTGTTTGTCATAAATCAACATCTCAGGAAAATGTTATGGGGTTTCAAATCAAAATATGACCTTCTGAAACAATGTAATGACATGAAAAAATACTAAATTCACAAAGCTTTTTATTTCTGGTTCTCAGGAGGATATAATAATATAATATAATATAATATAATATAATATAATAATAAATGTACATTAAATAGTATTTAACAAATAAAAAACAAAAGTCAAACTATTGTTTTGTGTTGAAGTGCTGCCTAAAATACTGTCTAGTTGTTGCTAGTTATAGGAACAACAACAAAAAAACTCTAGTTGTATCTATATCATATTTCCAGGAAATGTAAAATTACAGGAAAACCAAATAATGAAATATTGTTTGTTCACATGCAAAATAAAGGAAGCTTCAAGCTTCACATGTAAGGTGACATTCAAAACAGTGAACATATAAGCAAATAAGTGTGGAAAGTTGAGGTGTCAAATGACCAAAAACTGACAAAAATGGAATAGAGGGATATGGATTATATTACAACATTTATTTAAACAGAATGAAAAATAACAGAAGGGAATAAGCATGACCTGCACAGTACATTAGGCTACATAAAAAAATAAAAAAAAAATAAAAAAAGCAACTCCACATTTGCAAGCTGGAGCAAGAATAAGTACTGACCACATTATTTGTTGCAAACCATAGAAAGTAGTTTCAGTGTTTCTTAAATCACATGCAGAGATGTTTGAAGTTGTTCTGTAAAACCAGACACATAAAATATATATAAACCAAGACCAAAAGACCAACTGACCAACTGGCAGTAGCTCAGTTAAATTATACATAGATTGTACATATAATTATTTACTAATTTATTTTAAGTCAGTAAGTGAAAAAATGCAAATTGCAGTGTAGACAGTCTCTTATTTAAAGCATTTTGTGGTTGGAAGTTCAAGGCCCCCACTGCGTTGTTTCAGCAGGCGTGTGGCTGTCTGTAGGACATGATACCGCTGACGAAGATGACGTCTCTGCACATGTTCATTGGTGATCTCTACAACACATGCAGCGGAGAACCAGCCCCGCTGTCCGTCCTGTACCCTGCAGCCTTCCAGAAACCCTACAAAAGACCAGAAACGAGAGAATTTGCATGCCAATTCAAAAAAACGTTCATTGATTTTAGACTTATTGAATTCGGAATGGCAGGGTTGTGTTGCAACAGTACCCTCTGAAGTCTTCTGCATGACGTTGATCATATCTCCCAGCTGTAGACTAAGCTCCCCTTGTTGTTGTCCACTGTACACCTCTATACATCGCACCTGAGGACAGTCTTAGACACAGTGCCTATTTGATTCAAATTTGTACATTGTTTATTTTTTTATTTATTCACAAATGTATTATAATTCTAAAGAGCATCTACACTGCAGTTAATTGTTTGCTCTGATTAAGAACAGATGTTTCCCATTTTTGGAAACACAATCTTGAAGCCATTGACACTTTTGCCCCCTAGTGGACAATGTGTAGCTGCACAAGCTATTGTTTATTGTACCTATACTATTACATATGATTTATAGAACTGCCAAAGTTAAAAGAAATTTGTACATACTGTCATTGAATAACACTTATAAGCAAAACACAAGATCAGACATATATTCATATAAATATGTGTTCTGTTATGTGATATTTAGATGTAACCTAACTGACCCCAAATCAGTGTTAGGCATGTATGTAATATATAATAATACAAAGAAAATTATAATTATTATAATATTATATAATAATGAAGGATGAAAGATAAAAATGAAATATTTTCCATTGTTCAATTAAAGCAATGAGTCAAAAAACAAAGATGGTGTCATTATGATACATGTATTATAATATTTTTTTGGCCTCTGTTGAACTGACTCAAACAAAAACACATAAAAACAAGTATTGCATTTAGTGATTCATTCTCACCCCACTCTTCATACACGGTATCCTGTCCATCTCGCCGTCCACCCAGGAGCTGCATCCACGAGTCCTTCTCAGCTCTAAAAAAACCAGAAGAAGACACGTGTTTATTGAGGGAAACTACATAGAGTTTTATATGTTTTGTAATGATTTGCTTTGATCTTGCAATAAAGACCATGTTGTGTCTGACAGTTTGATGGTTCTTTGCATTGGATACTAACTCTGAATTTGTTTGCAGTAGAAGTTGAGAGGTGGCGCTCCGGTGATTATGCAAAAGGACGAGCCTAAATATCCGGTCCAGCTCACATCCCTCCAGCTCCTCCTCCAGATCTTTGCCCTCGGTCACTTCTATCAGAGAGCGGTGCACGTAGTCATGAACTACAAAACGATCCAACCTGCATTCATAAAAGACATTAACACCTTAGGATGGGTAGGTATACAGACAAAAATGTGACCCTGGACCACAAAACCAGTCATAAGGGTACATTTTTCAAAATTGGGAGTTTATACATTAACTGAAAGCTGAATAAATACGCTTTCTATTGATGTATGGTTTGTTAGGATAGGACAATATTTGGCCGAGATACAGATATTTAAATATCTGGAATCTGAGAGTGCAAAATATAAAAAAAAAAAAAATGCCTTTAAAGTTGTCCAAATGAACCCCGAATTTTTTTCCACCACCATGTCCCTTTAGGGGCTCCGTAAATAACACTTATAAGCAAAACACAAGATCAGACATATATTCATATAAATATGTGTTCTGTTATGTGATATTTAGATGTAACCTAACTGACCCCAAATCAGTGTTAGGCATGTATGTAATATATAATAATACAAAGAAAATTATAATTATTATAATATTATATAATAATGAAGGATGAAAGATAAAAATGAAATATTTTCCATTGTTCAATTAAAGCAATGAGTCAAAAAACAAAGATGGTGTCATTATGATACATGTATTATAATATTTTTTTGGCCTCTGTTGAACTGACTCAAACAAAAACACATAAAAACAAGTATTGCATTTAGTGATTCATTCTCACCCCACTCTTCATACACGGTATCCTGTCCATCTCGCCGTCCACCCAGGAGCTGCATCCACGAGTCCTTCTCAGCTCTAAAAAAACCAGAAGAAGACACGTGTTTATTGAGGAAAACTACATAGAGTTTTATATGTTTTGTAATGATTTGCTTTGATCTTGCAATAAAGACCATGTTGTGTCTGACAGTTTGATGGTTCTTTGCATTGGATACTAACTCTGAATTTGTTTGCAGTAGAAGTTGAGAGGTGGCGCTCCGGTGATTATGCAAAAGGACGAGCCTAAATATCCGGTCCAGCTCACATCCCTCCAGCTCCTCCTCCAGATCTTTGCCCTCGGTCACTTCTATCAGAGAGCGGTGCACGTAGTCATGAACTACAAAACGATCCAACCTGCATTCATAAAAGACATTAACACCTTAGGATGGGTAGGTATACAGACAAAAATGTGACCCTGGACCACAAAACCAGTCATAAGGGTACATTTTTCAAAATTGGGAGTTTATACATTAACTGAAAGCTGAATAAATACGCTTTCTATTGATGTATGGTTTGTTAGGATAGGACAATATTTGGCCGAGATACAGATATTTAAATATCTGGAATCTGAGAGTGCAAAATATAAAAAAAAAAAAAATGCCTTTAAAGTTGTCCAAATGAAGTCCTTAGCAATGCATATGATATTACTAATCAAAAATTAAGTTTTAATATATTTACGGTATAGGAAATTTATATATTCATGGAACATGCTCTTTAATCCCACCGGTCACAATAATGACCATAAAAAAGGTTTTCATTTATAAAACTCTAAAATCCTTACTGACTGATGTTTTAGTGCACTTCCTGCAAATATGGAAAAAAGTAAGGGTCTCAATGAAATATGTGCAGTTTCACATGATTAGTGCAAATTGTCACATGGCCAGAGCAGTTTATTTCCTGTTTGCACCTTGAGAAAATGATAACTGCATCAAAGCTCCGAAACGAAAGGCTAGTATAGTATTAACTTAAAGATATGACAAAGATTTTTGGTACACATTATCTTTAAGGTGTCTATTAATAGATGAATTCACATATATTCAGTTTTGTTGAATGTGGTCATAGAATGAGTAAACATCTTGATGGTCACAATAGTGACCGGTGGGATAACTGTGAACACTCTTAAAAATAAAGGTGCTTAAAATGTTCTTCACAGCGATGCCATAGATGCAGTCAAAGGTTCTTTAAAGAACCATCTCTTTCTTACCTTTTTTTAATCTGAAGACCCTTCTTTTGCCACAAAGAAACAGACTTTTGTGAAACAGAAAGGTTCTTTAGATGTTAAAGGTTCTTTATGGAACCATTTAGACAAAAAGGTTCTTCTATGGCATCATGAAGCACCTTTATTTTTAAGAGTGTACAATATAAATCCAATTGCAGTTGTTAGTGAAAATTACACTAAAATGTTGCAATGACCAAAATATTGCACTAAATTAAAAGTTCAAATGTTACAAATAAGTTACAATATTGATGTTGTAATACTGGTAGCACTAATATACAAATCTGATGATATATTTTACAAAAAGTAACAATTTTGAAAAAACGTTGAAGGTTGTATTTTTTTGTCTTTTATCTCAGTATTCCTATCAATGTTGTATAAGGGTTTTTTAGTAACCCTAGAATGTGATCAAACAGTTTAAAATAGCTGGGCTGAGATATATAACAATTTTTATGACTGCACAAATATGTTAATTCAGTACATACATTATCCCATAAAACCATAAAACACAATTTTTCACACACGTTTCCAAAAAAAATGGCAAGTGACGTAACCGGTGTTGCGGCTTAACACCGGTATCACCGTCAGCACCGTCTATCGCGGCAAGCCTACCCCAAATTTTTGAATGGTATAGTGTATTTCAATCTTAGATTGACAATCATTGACAATCTATTTATCCATAAAGGCTATCTATAAAATAAAATTTAGCAATACTTGTACACAGTATATCAATACCATATCAGTTATTGGCCAGTGTTAGAGGTTTCTTTATTTATTGGTATCTGTGAATATATTTATCATGCACGCTCATATCCTCTATTTTAACATTTAGATTACCTTTTCTTTCATCTAATCACTCTTTCACTCTTTAAAAAACATTCATCTTTAGCAAATCTCTAAATAAATATTTTCGTACTGTGCAATTATGTTGTTTGACGTTTAAATCAATTTGTGGCATTTAAAACTATTTTTATTCAAATAAATGATTTTATTCATTTATTTGGATAAAACAGCTCAGAATTTAAATATCGTCCATTTGTTTGTTATTGGCCATAATATAATTATCGATATTCAGACACATTTTAATATCAGTGCAAACCAGGTAGATAAAGAGTTGCATCTGTCACATTAAATAACGGAGACATCCATTAGATAGAAGATATCTAAGGAACAATCCATCTTCCTAGAAACTAAAACCTAATAAAAATAAGTAAACATTTAAATCAGCTCATTTGATAAACTAATTGATTTGGCTCTCCTACCCTTTCCTGGTGGCCACCAGCAGCAGATCATTAAAGAGGAACAGAAGTACAGGACACAGTTTTCTCTGGCCAAACATGTTTTCCTTCAACAAGATTTGCACCAGATCTCCCTGCTTCACAAGCCAGCGGGAGGAAGACACAAGAGCCAGGGCCTGAGAGAGACAGAAAGATCCCAAAACAGACAGACATTGATGAAAAGAGTAAATTACACATTACAAAATGTACATGTAAACAGTTTCCCAGCGATCACCTGCAGCTACAGTACCTTGCATGCAAACTCAATCTTGTTAGCAATCTGCACTATTTCTTCCATCTGTTTCATTCTGCCCACCTGCCAGTTGCAAGCTTCTAAAAGCTGTAGGTGAAGACAGCACAAAGCATACAACATAATGCAGCAAACTGATTTTTTATACAACAGCAGTCATTGAGAAAATGTTTAGCAGCCAGCTTGGCATTCATACCCTGCAGATCTCCGTCAGAGCTCTCAATGCTGAGGCCTCACAGTCTGACCCTGGAACGGCCTTCTTCTGGATATTCTGCATTGCATCGAAATGTTTGACATATTCAGTGATGTAACATTTAAAAACAATTAAACATTCTCATGCTAATTATGCTAGTGCTTCTCATCACTCACCTCCATTAGGATTTTAAGCCGTGTGATTCTCTGAAATGGCAGTGAAAGGAAAGATTTGAGGGGAAGGCGGTTGCATCGAGGGTCTTCCTGTAGTTTATGCAAGATCTCCACAATCTGAGGACTCTCTTTTCTGATCACAGTACAACAGATTATAAATATATTAGATTTTCAACAACAGACACTTTATTCATAAACATCTGTAGAATACAGTCCAACCAATTTGCATTCCTAATATACATGATAAATAAACATCAAGAACTATTCTTTTACCCAAGGTTGTGTAATGTCTGCTCCTGATAGGGCATATTACGGATGTAATTTATATAAGCATCAAAGGGTCCAAGAGCATATTGGTGTACAACATCACAGATTATGTCGCAGAACACACTTGAGGCCAGCTCCAACAGCATCGCATCCATGAAGCTAAGAAAAGAGTTCGCATAAGATATAGGTAAGTATTTGGACACTTAAAGGCACAATATGTAATTTTCGCCGCTAGAGGGCGCGTATTCAAAATAAACAAAGAGACAAAGGCGTAGTTAGATGACGCTGTGACTGAGTGTGGAATCATGGGAGTTGTCGACTTCATCCCCACAGCCGATGCAATCTGCAGGGAACTCGGGAAGAAATCATGTTCATGGATGAGCTAATGATTTATTAACGTAACGAAACGAAAACGCTGAACGAGCGTGACACACGGCTCGAAAGCAGCGGAGCTTTTATTATGCCACAGTCGACCGCTTCCGCTCCTTCCGGTCGTGCGTATGTGGGGTAAAGCAGCGCTGTTTTATCATACTAGATACATTTGAAAGTTCTGTTATAATGCTACTCTGTGCGGTCGTCACCGGTCTATTAAAACACACAACATATTTAAGCGTATTTGGTGTTTCCATGTTTTCTACAAAACAAAACCGAGAGGTTATGACGTCATTGGCAGGCGACACAATGACACTATAGACACGGTCCGTGTCACTAGTTAAAATTGCTTATTTCTCTGGATTTAAACATTCTTCGAAACATTTGGGATAATGTAAGTACACAAGTCAGCAAAATATATAACACTGCTCTAGTGGTTTTTGGATATTTTAATAAAAAAATCTTACATATTGTGCCTTTAAGTCACAATTAAAAGCATTATACAACATATAGCTTAAAAATGGCATATGCAAATGAATGATACTAAAACAAATTCCACAACTAACTTTTCGGAGTCACTTTTACAATTATTTTTGATTTAAATGTCATTTTTCGTGGATGTATGAAGTCACTTAACTTTAAGTTCACATAAGTTCATCAAACTGATATATGAAAATGTTTCAACAGAAAAGTTAACCAGAAAGTGTTCAGTAAAAATAGTAATAATGTGAAATATTATTACAATTTAAAATAACTGTTTTTAATTGTATTCCTGTGATGGCCAAACTGAATATTCAGCAGCCATTAATCCAGTTTTCCATGCCACATGGTCCTTCAGGAGTAATTCCAATATGTTGATTTGAGGTTCAAGAAACATTTCCTATTATTATCAATGTCAAAAAACCATTGTGCTACTTAATATGTTTGTGGAAATGATGCTGCATTTTTAGGATTGCTTTTAGGGTTGCTTTTTGAAGCATTTATTTGAAATATAACTTTGTTGTAAGAAATAACTTTGCTCTCTATGTTGATCAATTCATCACAATATAAAAGTATTAAAAAATGAACCCAAACTTTGTTTGAATGGTAGTGCACATAAGAAGTAATATCATTATATACAGGCCCAACATTATAATCTTCTGAACATGACAATGAACACAGGAAGCAATCAGATCTAAATGTTTTCTCCTCAGACATTTATTCTGCAATCTTGCTAAACAGACTTTATATTGAATACACAATGTCTGGTTCGTACCTTTGACTGATCTCTTTGATCTTTGCAATGCTAGAAAACAATGACTTTCTGTCTCTTGGTGCCAAAGCGTCTTTCAGCACTGAAGATTCTTGAAAATGCTCCACAGCCACCGTCAAGCCCTGAAGATAGGACTGCTCAGATGTAACAACCTCATACAGATGCTGGTAAAGGGTTGAAGGGATGTGAATGACAGGCAAAGGCAAAGAATTTTGGGAGAAAGTGTGGAGAACATCAGAGAATATAAATATAAAGTAGACGTCATGAAAAACAGGTATTACCAATTTTTATACTCTTTAGGGTACCTCTTGAAGCTTTAGCCGTTCCTTACTGAGCCGATGTAGTATTCCACTGTCTCTTACAATGTTTCGGTCTTGCCACAAGTTCTCCATTAACTTTGTCTTAGTATCAGCACACATGCAGTTGCAGCCTCTCTTAGAAGGGCTTTTGATCAGTTTGTCCACCAAACCAGGAAGAGGCAGCATTGTTGGAGTCCTTTGAGAAGTTTCAAGTACGTTCTTAGAGAGATTCTCCCCATCCGTTTCTTGGTATTTTATCACAGAAGGAACGTCCTCTGGACTCTCTCCATTGGAAACACCTGAGATGGATACATTTTCATGTAGTCTTTCTCCATCGGTCAGTCTTTTGGTGTGAAAGCACAATGAACACATTTCTAACTGAGAGTTACTAAACATTTTGGGAGCGTGATCTCCTTTAGCCTTAAATACTTTGGGCTTTTTGGTGCTACAATCTCTCTCTTTAATTGCTCCTGAGAATCTTTTGTGTAGCTCAGAAACCAAACTTTCCCTGACAAGGTTGCTGAGCAATCCAACTTCATTGTGCTCAATTTTGGTTTTATTGTGGACCCTGAAAGCAGGAATTGGTTTTGACAGAGATGGATGTGGAAGGGGTTTGCCATTGGGACAAACCTCAGAAGCTGGAGTGAACAAGAGAATCATTGCAAGGTAAGATTTAACAATGAAATACTACTACACAGTGATAATGGTGGTGGAATTAGAGTACCTACCTGATTGTCTGTGGGGCAGCACTGGTGAGCTGGAGCATTCAGACTGGACTGGTGTTGTGTCTACATCCATATAAACTCCCTCATCAATATCATTATTTGGTGCTTTGCCAAGAAAAATGGATAACACAAGATCCTCCATTCAGACTGCTGACACATTGGTTCTCAAACAATAAGAAACTTGAAAGCGCATCTTATGTTTGGAGCCCCAAATACCCTAGTGATTTATATGTAACAATAATTTAATAATTAAGCTGTTCTGCCAACTCTTACATTTATGCATTTAGTAGACACTTTTCTCCTAAACGTTTTTAGGTGGTACAAAGGGCCTTGGGGTGTTAGACCCAAAACATGAAGGGTAAAAATGGACTATATGATAGTTGGTGTATTTTTGGCTCGAGAGATTCCTGTAAGTCACAAAGCAATGAGAAATCAATTCAAATCATTATGGCAAATGAACACTCACCCATCATGGAGATAATTTGCTCTGGCTCTTTGGGAAGAGGTCTGGCAGGTACAGGTATGCTCGGAGGGACTCGTTTTGATTTATGTGAGGTAGTTTTTGGACGACTGTGCCAGTTTTCCAAATGAGTATCATTATTCTTTCCATCTGTGGAAACAGATTGGTGAATGTTTGCCAGTGGTTCACAGATTTACTCACATCTGCTGTCATGACAGTAGGATGTTGTCCATGCAGGACTGGTTTTGCTCAGTCATCGTCTAGGAGTTTATGTTTATAAATTGGAATTAGACTTATTCTGTGTGGTGTACCTGAACAAGCTTGGTCTGATGTAGGTGCGACATAATTCATAATGAAATTATGGACAGGCTGTGATTGCTTAACATGAATCTGCGTCTTCAGAAGACGAGGTTTTGGGCTTGGTTTTATCTTTGGGGGAGCGACCAGACTATGAGTGGCAATTACTTGGCGTGGGTTTTGTGCCGCTGTGGAGTGCTGGGTGGCCTGGCGTTGGTGGTCCTTCTCTTGGACATCTCTCCTCAAAATAAAGTCTGTCGCTCTGTGCAATTTCTCACCCTTAAGCGGAGGTTTAGAGGGACAGTAAGTTTTAGACGCAGGAAAGTTTTGGCATGGATATAGTTCTCTGTATCCATCTGGCCCTGGCATGGCCCTCGGTCGCCTGTAAGGAAGAGCAGATGGGAGCACAATGCTACTTATTACTTGTCAGTGTAAATTTTGTCAGATGATTATAAAAATTTGTGGCTACACTTTGTTATAGGGACCAATCCTTACTATTAATTGCTTATTAGCATGCCAATTATTAACATATTGGCTGTTTATTACCCAATACCTAAACTTAACAACTACCTTACTAGCCATTAATAAGCAGCAAATTAGGAGTTCACTGAGGCAAATGTCATGGGTTAATGGTTTGTTAATGGCGAGAATTGGACCTTAAAATAAAGTGTGACCAAATTTGTCTATTTAAGTAATAGAAATTAAAGATCTTTTGATTTTAGAAGTAATTGTGCAATTACATATAAAGATGTGATATAAATTTACACTATAATGCATTTTAATTTAATTGCAAATAGCATGCAATTAAGTTTCTGCACATTCAGTTTACACAAGTATGTTTTTAAGTATATTATTTCCATAAGAAGTTTTTTTTTTTTAAGTATGCCAAAGTATACTTCTGCTTCTCAAGAGAAGGTAACTGTATTCCACTACCCGGTCATGTAATTTCAAACATGTCTGACTTTCTTCTGTTTTGGTTCCCATTGACTTTCAATGTATGGATAAAATAAAAAAAATAAAAAAAACCACAACTGAAGTCGATAGGAACTAAAACGGTTTGGTTACCCAACATTCTTCAAAATATCTTCTTTTGTTTTATGCAGAGGAAAGAAATTCATACAGGTTTGGAACAACATGAGGGTATGTTTTGGGTGGACTATCTCATGTGTAAAGGTCCAGACAGAGAGAGAGAGTGATCTGATCTGACTGCACAAGAGCTCAGACAAACTTGCCTTTTTGTTTGTGCTCTCTGAAAAGTGATGATTCAGCATATTGGCCCAGATGGACTTTGAATGATCTCATTTGAGAAAAAAGAAAAGTAATTTGTTGACACTTGAGGTGTCTGTACACTGAGAGTTAAAATATGTGCTAATACATAACTACAGATTCTCATATACTGAAACATTTTGTGCACTGATAATATGTTTTCTTTAAGTACTTAATGGCTGACAAGTGGGAATATTTTACCTACAACCTACCACACACACACACACACACAAGCCCCTTATTTCCTTTTTGTGGGCACAGCTGGATCATGTAGTGAAAAGAGCTGTTGTTGGGATTTCCCACTTTTCCCATCTCAGGAGATCCGGTCACACATGTCTATGCTTGCTGTCAACTCAGCTATACTGTATCATCTAAGACATTCCTACTAAACTGAGTCGAGCAGGTAATGTTTCCTTAGGCTTTCTGCTAACTAAGTCACCTTTATAATGGAATGTGGAAATTTCCCACTTTTCATAAATGTCACAATGATTGAAAAAGTAGGGAAAACCAACATGTCCAGTAATGAAGTAATTGTTTTTATATGGGTAGGAAGGGCAAGAGGAACTTGTAGGTAAAGTTCAGCTACCGCCCCAATTAAGAACTGAACATTTTTAATGTTTTTTTTTTTTATTAAAGTAAACATGCACTGTAATAAAAAAAATATTGTATTAATTAGTTTTAAAAATATTTTTTCAAATTAACTTTTCAATGAATTTTAAAAACATGTTAAATGGTTAATAGCAAACGTTCCTCACTATATACAGTGAAAAACTGTAATGAATCTAACAGGACATTTCATATAGGCGTTTGTACAGTAAAATACTTTACAGCTTTTGTAAAGAAGTGAAGAACAAGTCATCATATAATTTACATTTTATAACTTTTATTTTCTATTTCTGTGCATGACTACACCTTGTGTGCACGTGTGCACCTTCTATATAGAATTTACCTCAGTTTGTAGAAAAGTTACTTTTGATAAACTTTATTCCACATGCGGCTTTCTCATTACCACCTGTGTTTTTGGTGCTTGTCAGTGTGTTAAAAAGGTACAAAACAAATTTTAGTACTTCAGTAGTTTGATGTATTTACATAACAGTATATCAGTAAATAGTCATCTAGTAATTAGTTATTAATCTCGGAACAACTGAATATAACAAGTGGCTGACCTTAGTCCACTTTCCCTTGCAATTAAATGATCGTGAGAAAACAATGCAGTCAGTGTACCCAATACCCATAGAAATCCTTGTCAAATCTCTTTTTCAACAGCTTCAAGACACAACAGATAGAAGATAAGAAAGATGCATCTTGGATATGTGCATTTGAGAATGAAGGGCCAGACACTATAATGCCACACAAACGTATGTGATGGTTTGGGTGTAAACATTTAAAATGACTTTATACAAGCAAAAACCCTTATGTATATACTGTATGTATTTATTTAAACATTTTACAACCATTACTTTCACACTAATGTTTCTCATCTATTAAACCTCATAATTAAAATGTTGTATCAATGTTTCTGTAAATACACTTGCTATTAGATATAGCCATATAGTAGATGCATTATTGTATTACAATAAGACATAAACATATATTCCCATATTATATTAAAATAATTATTAAAACTAATATTAAGTAAACAAACACTTCCACTTACCTCGGTTTGTATTCACTGCTTTTAATTCTGAAATGTTGTCCACCTCTTGATGCTTTGCGAACTCAATAAACTGATACCTTCAGCCAACACTAACTGATTCTACCTAACAGTGGGAATGCTATGTGTTTCCATCACACAACTCTATCCCTTGTAACTGTTGAATTCAGTCTCGACTTCAAATGTAAAGAGAGGAGGGAAAAAAGAAGACCCGTCCCGACACGCCAGTGTAAAGGTAATCAGGTAAGAAGTCTGGAATCCACTCATAATGCATCCTTAGTGTAACTTATACTTGGGTTATTAAAACAAAATACAGATTTTGTTATAAAAATCATAACACAAAACTAGTCACAATACCAGAACAATATATATACTCAAAAAGAAAGGAGATTTTGTCTGGGTTGGAATGGCATTCAGTTATATTTCATACATTCCTCCTATTAAAAACAGTTACTATTTGCATCATTTAGGTGTACTTGTGTTGTTTAATAAGAAACATAGGTGTTATAGAGGTAAGGTGTTTAGTTTTCAATATTTTACACATCTCTTCCATATGGTGTTCTCCAGAAAAACACAACATGTTCTTATGAAACTGACATATTCCAAATTATCAACTTATACTAAAGTTACAAACATCACTGCGACACTCCACCAATCTGGGCTTGATGGCAAAGTGACCAAACTCAAGCTTCTCCTCAGTAAAGATACATGAAACCCTGATTGGAATTTACAAAAATACACCTAAATAACTCTCAGACTATATGAAAAAAAAAGATTCTCTGGTCTGATGAACCTCAATTCCTTACTCATGTCTGAGGGAAACCAAGCACCGCTTATCACCTGCATAATACCATCCCAACGGTGAAGCATGGTGGCAGCAGCATCATGCAGTGGGGGTGTTTTTCAACGGCAGGGACTGGGGAAGTGATCAGAGAAGATGGAAAGCTGAATGCAGCTAAATACAGAGAGATATCCTTAATGAAAACCAGGTTCAGAGCGCTCAGAACCTCAGACTGGGCTGAAAGTTCACCTTCCAACATGACAAACACCCTATGCACACAGCCAAGACAATGCAGCAGTGGCTTAGGGACGACTCTATGAACATCCTCGAGTGGCCCAGCCAGAGCTGGGACTTGGAACCAATCAGACATCTTTGGAGAAACCTATAAATGGCTGTCCACCAAGGGTCCCCAGCCAACCTGAATGAGCTTGAGATAATCTAAAGAGAAGAATGGCAAAAAAAAAACAAATGCAGATGTGCAAAGTTTGTTGCATCATACCCAAAAAGACCTGAGGCTGTAATTGTTCCTAAAGTGCTTCAACTAAGTTTTGAGTTAAGGGTATGAAGACTTGTGCAATATCATTTTTGTCATAAATCTGGTTTTTGCTTTGTCATTATGGTGAGTGGGGTGTAGATTTATGTGGGGAAAAAAAGTAATTTAAAGCAGTTTAACTTAACGCAACATACCAAAATGTGAAAAAAATGAAGGGGTATGAAGACTTTCTATATAGGCACTGTACATGTTATACATACATAATTTTCTTTATTATTTCCTTAGCAATGCCCCATAGCAGTATATGAAGGCCTAAACTTTTCATTTAACAATTAACACTAACACTAAGTTACCTACATATCTAACTGTGAATTCTGTTTTTACTCTGTGTACTCTGTTTTTACTCTGTATATCTACTAGGTATACATAAAGTTTTGCAGTAGTGGGATATGATTGATTTGTAAGTTATTTGCAGTTATTTATATTATTAAGTGAATACAATATATACAGTAGCACATGATGTAATCAAAAATAGCTATCCTTTTGAATTAAGTTGTTAAGTCTTTGGTTGGAAGGTCAGTCTTAAGGCCTGTTCACACCAAGGACGATAAGAACTATAAAGATAACGATATTAGCGTCCACACCAGCGAACGATATCGTCTGTTTATTCTCAGCGCACACTCGTCTGCCGCTTTAAATTCTCGAGCTCGTTATAGCAGGATTGATTCTGATTGCATGTCAATGTTTTTTTATCGTTCATCAGCAGGAAAAAAAATCGTTCTGAAAGTGATTCCAACGATATTGTTTCTCTGTGCATTTATCGTTATAGCTGTGGTGTGGACTCTGCTATTCTTTAATATTGAGAACGATTTTTAGAACTATATCTTTATCGTTATCGTTATCGTTCTTGGTGTGAACGGGGCTTTAGTCTGTGCATTATTATCTTGCACTGTTTGATAGATGTTGGGCTTTTGGTACACTGGGAAAAGAGGTTCTCATCTTCCATTTCCGACTAAAAAGTCACAGTAGTTGAAAGAGTCAGTATTTTGAACATCTGTTGAATGAGAGGAATCTGTCCCCATCTTGTGGATGTAACTTTGCACTACTGCAACTAGTTAATATTCACATTTTAAATCTGCAATAAAAATATGGACCTCAAATACTTGAAAAGCATACGGTCGAAAACACAATACTCTCCAATAAATAGCATCTAGTAATGAAGTAATCAAGAGGGATTAACCACTCAGGTTTGAGAATCAAACCCTTTCTATCTTTTAAAATGATTATTATAAATTGAATAAATTAAAATTATGTTATAAATTTTCTTGCCAACTTATTAATGGTCTTAAAAACTAAAAGTCACTGAAAGAACTAATTTCATGGGAAGAATTTATAACTCCCATAAGTCATACAGTATATATCCTGAGAAAAAAAGCCCTATCATCCCTATTTTGCATGTATCTTAAAGAAAAACAATTGAATGAATGTAATGAAACGTATGATTTGGTAGCATTATGTCTCTACTGTATGAAGTTTTCCAAATCATAATTAAACTACATTGAAAGTGTAGTATTTCAAAGTAGTATTTCGCACAAAACCTCACAAGAGCAAATGATAGGTTGCAGTCACCATGTCACCTAGCCTACTCTTCTGAGATTGGGATAATGACATGGGGCCGAGAGTGGATGTCGCAGTGCTTAAATTGTTCCAAGAAAAACAATGAAAATCAATAACTTTGTTAGATCCACACTACGGTGACGCATTGCTGCCACACACATATTATTTTTTCCACTCAATTATGTCGTAATAACGAGATCTTTTCTCGTTAAAACGACATCTTTTCTAACTTTTATAAAGAATATCTCTTTGGATTTGAGACTTTAGTCTTTGCAACTTTACAGATCTTCTTTATGCACCAAGAGCTTGTAACACTCCAAAGAGAAAGGAAAATTGAAATCGCATCATATGACCCCTTTAATAATATTCCTGAGTAAATGACTGCAGAAACAGATGTTGAAATATAATAAGCATTTTCCTGATGCTCCCCTGCCATGCTTGCTTAGCTTGTCACTTTGTTTCTGACTTGCTCGGCCTCAAAAATTCCTGCTTGCAGCCACATTTATTAATACTTTCTGTTTGCAAACATAAATTACATTATCAGAATGAGTATTTGGGGTGGGCCTCAGTGATCTCTCTTGAACTACTGACATACTGTAGTGAGGGGGGACTCTCTGCCCAGAAATATTGGCAAGCTATTATTCCAACAATTACAATCCTCAATACTCTTCTCTTTTCCTGGCTAAAGGCACATTCACACCAAGTACGGTGAGGATAAAGATAAAAAAAAACAATCATAAAAGTGGAAAAAAAAACCTTTTGTATAAAAGAATAGCAGATTCCACAGCACAACTAACGATAACTGAACAGAGAAAC